TGGATGAATTGATGGATGGATGGGTGTTTCAGTGTGGTACTTCCCACAGCATTTACCTTATAATATGTTGCTTCCATAAGTCACAAAATTTGCTCCGATGTGTGGGTTCAGGGACGGTGGACCTTGGGGGGTATTTTGATGCTGATGGTAGATATAGTTGCAATATAGTGCCTGGTTTACATGGATAAAGTTGTATTTTCCCCCATTTAACTCCTCAACTTCCACACCAAGAGAACAGCATTTTAATACATTATTATTTTGCTTGTTTTTTGACTTTCTAGAAAACTAAGCAAGGCAGGGCAACTGACAGCTTTGCCTGTGCTCAGGACAAAATAACATTGTAATATTAGCCACCCAAATCCCAAATTATGTATTTGCCTACATTATTGACCATGTTTGAATCTTGGGTCAATGAAGTAAATAACAGCTGGAAATCCTTTCAGCCAGTTCAAGTTCAAGTCTTGACCTGTGCTCGTCATCCAAATCATTCCTACATCCGTTGGCTCTCTTTTTTTTGTCTTTTAACCCCCAAAATAAAAATTCCCAGTGAAGAGTTTTGCTTTAGTATTTACTGTGTTTCTTTACAAGGAGAAACAAAAAGATTTTTAATTTTGACTTGGAAAACGAGCCTCAAAATGCTCCTAAATCAGCTGAAGATCAAAAGCGAAAAAGCAGACAAAACCTTTAAAGTCTTTTTTTTAGATAAAATTGAGAAGTATTACAGAAGAACCAATAAACTATGAACAGCTGATGACAGATTGAGTACATAAATAAACAAAAGCAGTTTTTCTCACTGAGTAGACTAAACTAGTGACCAGTTTAGGAGAATGAGCACATCTGGTGGTTGCCTTTCCTTGACTCTCCCTCCCTCCTTCTACCTTTTTTCTAGACCTTTTTCACTCTTCGTCTTTCATCTTCTCTCTCCTTTTCAACTGACACTCACATCTCCGTCCACTCTAACCCCACCCCCACTCCCGTTTCCTCTCCTCCCTGTTTCAGAGTGTGGCTGTCATCCCTCCATTGTGGCAGGTGAGGCTATTAAACAGCAGGGGACAGCAGAGGAGGGCTCACAAGCAAGGTGTTTGTGTGTGTGATTAATTATCGCAAAGATATCTGAGGAGCTCCTGAGCAAATTGTGCACACATTCAGACACAGAGTCATTAATCTAAGTTCTGTTGTTACATGCGTTGGAGTGTTAAAGGGTAACATTGGCGACCTTTGACCCAAACCGTGTCTACTGCACTCTCTTTCACTCACACATAACTCACGGTGTCGCCTGCAGGTCCATCGGTGTCTATTTGTCTCTCAGCGCCTCGTCCGCAGATGCAGTGTGTGTAATTTTCTGTGATTTATAACAGACAAGTGATATTTGGATGTGTAAGGTATGTAGCTCCTTTTACCACAAATATTTTCAGCTTTTTCTCTCACACCTTCCTCTCCAAGTTGCATCAGTGATGCCTCAGTAACTCAACAACTCAGCGAAGGAAAGAAATCGTTCAATCTGTTCTTGAACTTATAGATGATGTTTTCCCGTTCATGCAGAGTGAGTTTAATTTAACCTTTATTTACTCCGGAAAAAGCCCATTGAGATTCAAAACCTCTTTTTCAAGGGAGTTCTGCAAACTTCAACTTTAGGACAAACTACCTGAGTCCCAAAAAGAGCAAACACCATTTGAAGTCACGGACAACCAAAGATGTTTGGATGTAGAAAACAGCAATTGATGTTTAGCGCTCCCTGGTTTCCTCTGACAACATGGGTTTCCAGTTTTGACAGAAGCATCTCGGGGAAAATACCCGAGGGGAGGGATGCGTGTTCCTTGACCGTGTTTGCGTTCAAAACCATGCTAGTTCTGTAGTTAACAGCTTCAATTACCGGTGGTGACATAGTGTCACAGCCCATTTCAAGTATCTGCAAGTCTGTTCTGAAGTTCTGAAGTCACAAGTTTGACGACCCCAAGTGACATTCGTATATAAGAAATTATTTTACTTCTGTATTTTATTTGATTTTATAAAATGTATTTATTCAGAGTGGCTGATGGCGAAAATGGCTGCCTCGCCTTTGTCAGACTGTCTGTCTGCGGCTATAAAGTACATAAATGGTAAATAGCCTGTATTTGATATAGAAACTTCTAGAGTCCTGGAACCCCCCAAAGCGCTTCACAACACAATAAGGCATTCACTGACTGATCAATGCCTTTCAGAGCGGCTCCACCCAGCTGGCTGCTGCTGCTACCATGGAGCCTGTAGAGACGCTGGACGGAGACAGTATGCCCTCGTACTTCTCCGTCTCCTGGGGAGTGTTGCAAAGCAATTCCCCGCCAGGGCAACAGAGGGCGTAGCGCTGTTCAGTGGTATCCTGTCATGTATCTGGTCCAAGATGGTGTGTTTATATTGTGCTTTTTTGTATTTAAGAGACTTTAACATGGACAAATTTGTCCCTCATCCTCCTCCACCTCTTTATGTGCTCGCTAAACCCGCGTTTTCAATCATTTTCATCCACAAATAAAACGCTTTCTGCGCATCTTTTCAGTCCTCCAGTCACGGGGAATAAAATGTTCATATTTTTAGAGTTTTTCTGCGAGGTATTCTTCAAACTGCTCCGTATCTGCCGCTAGATATCCTCGGCTCTCTTTATTTTTGAGGGCGCAATGGCGGTGCAGTGGACGACAGCAGCATCCTGATCAATCACAAGCATGCATTTTCGACAGAAAAGAGAGCTTGATTCTGTCCGTCCTTGCGAGGGCTCTCCAGCAGGCTCGCAAGGACGGACAATGGCGTTGAGTGCATCCGTCCTAACGCAGATGGAGAAGTATGAATTAGACTTGATATGTTCTTCTCCGTCTGTGTCGGGACGAACACACTCAAAGGACGCTGCTGTTGTCGACAGCGCTGCCATAGGGAGCCTAAGTCATGCCCATCTACTTCTGGACCATGGGTCCCTGGAAGAACAATAAAATGAATGCAAGTCAATGGGGCCAAAACTATTTTCTAATTCCGCTTGTTTTGTGCCATGGATTTCACATATGATGTCCATGAATTTTAAAGACACATTTTGATACCAAGAACTCGATTATTTCAGTACAACATAAGTGCGATCCAGGTTGTAAGGCAAAGCAGATTAGAAAATAGCGTTTTTAGCCCCGTTGACCTGCATTCATTTTTTCGCTATTTTGGGGAGCCATGAGCCGACCGGAAAGGGAGGAGACTTTGGCCACCTCTTGCGTCCTCAAAAACAAAGAGAGCCGAGGATATCTAGCGGCAGCCACGGAGCAGCCTGAAGAATACCTCGTGGAAAAACTCTAAAAATATGAACGTTTTAATCCCCCATGACTGGAGGAGTGAAAAGATACGCAGCAAGTATTTTATTCGTGGACGGAAACGATGAGAAACATAGGTTTAGAGGTGGCGAGTGCATGAAGAGGCGGAGGAGGGTGAAGGCCAAATTTGTCCGTGTTAAAAAGTCTCTTAAATATAAAAAATACAGAAGAGGGCAAATTGTCTCCATCCGTGCATCTCTCCCTCGAGGAGCTGATGGAGAAGTATAAATTAAGAGGTAGAGCTTTGGGTGCAACATCATCAAACCTTTTCTTTCTGTGTAAATTAATTGACCCAAATATGCAACACTGAACTCATGCAATGATGTTAGTTTTGCTGGCTTTGGTCAGACAATGTTGCAATGTTTTCATGAGATAACTCATGAGATGTGATGAGTGTAGCCACCTTTTCACGTATTGTTCAGTGATTCAACATCTGGAAGAAGAAATTAGCTCCAGTGAGTTAAAAAAACTGAATGTTCAGCAGGTTCATTCCTCAAACAACAAAACTGCTAAAAGACTCATCTTGACAAATGAAATGTTTTTATATTTTTATATAAAAATTAAACAGTATCTAAACACGTCCATCCAACCTATCCAGACTGGGTGAGATTATCAGCTTGTGTAATTTATCTAGTATCTTTATTTGGTTTTTGTAAGTTTTGGGATCAGTGGGATGGAACAGACTGCAGAGATGATTGAAGCCAGCCGCAACAGGAAGCTGGAGACAGACAGGCAGAGAAAAAGAGGAGGAGGGAGAAGGTTGAGGGTGAAACCGCAGTTTTTATATGCTGTCTGGTTTTAATTTGGTAAGAGCCATCATTCACCAGTTCACTGAGGTGGCAAACCAGATGAGAGTGTGTGTGTGTGTCTGTGTGTGTGTGTGTGTTGTTTTAGAGCTTTGCTGGTTTAGATACTGAGATCTGTTCCTGGAAATCATAAAACTGTTTATTCTTTTTAATAGACCTTTTCTCTCCCTCATTTTTTGAGGCTTTTTGCTGTCTTGTGTGAGTGGATGCTACTGTTTAATCAAAATAACCGTTAACCCTTTAACTTCCACTCCATGAAACGAGCTCTTTTCCATTCAGGACAATAAGGGTTCTAATATACTGCAGGTTTTAATAATGAGAAAATATGTACAAACTTTTATTCCATATGTATTATATTTATACACTTTTTACTTAGAATATATTTTTAGTTTGTTAAAGCGACAATCTAGAGTAATTTGTATCAGATGGTGCCATCTAGTGGCTGACAAATATATTGCACCTTAAAATGTTCTAATCCCGTCTGTATATATATATATATATATATATATATATATATATATTCTCCATCACTCGCACATGCTCTGTAATTGACAGTTGCACGTAGGCGGCTGTTGAGCGCTATTGGTTAATGCAGTCGTTTTCAATTGCATCGGGCTATACGGGACGGTGGTGGGCTTAGCAAAAAAAGTCGCGTTGCCTACATTATATCACAGTACAGGATAGTACAACCACTTTTACGGATTTCTAAAAGAGTCATACATAATTCCAGAAAGGGGGAGAACTCCAGATTGCATCTTTAAAATAAGTCATTAATACATGTAAATGACAATTTTACTAATTAGGATAAAACGTTAAACCCGTTATTTTTTCCATTTGTGTGTTTACTGACCTGTTCTGTTTGTTTGCTTATGTTCAGTGCCTTCAGCCATGCAAAGAACTGTGGGAAACCAGGAAGGTGCTCTCTCTTAAGTCCTGTGAGGTAACATGAAACAAATATCTCTGTGTTTTTTTAACAGTTAATGTAACTTTGGTGGTATTGTCGCTTTTGCACAAAAAATTGCTTTTGTTGGAATCCTGAAGATGTTTTTCAATGCAAGCTTGTTTGTGTGTGTCACAGATAACACTCGAGAGATTTTTAATGTATACATGAAAGGGTTTTGTGTGTTTTGTATGTGTGTGTGTGGCCCCCAAATGATTATTTGTAGAGGCCGTCACTGCGGTTTTCAGATAGATTAGTTTTTCATCACAATAGCTGAAGCATTTTACTGTCTCGATGGTTGACTGGCTGCCTGGTTAGGACCACAGGGTAATTCAGAGCTATTAGCTAAAGCTCGTGTTTACATCTCGCTCAACTGCAGCCGTGTGAGCTGCCAGAAACACTCACACAAATACACACACACTCACACACAACCTTTTAGACAAACTCTCAAGGGTAGAGTTTTCAACTCTCAGCAGGAGTTTATCAAAGGAAAGGAAACGCTTTCAACTCTCCTGAGTGTTTTTATGCCCTCATGTGTGCGTTCTCAGATACTGCATAATGTTATGACAATGATAATATTACCCCCTGTGTTCTTACCCTCTCTCAGAAACAGACCGAGTGTGTGACGAGCAGGGAGTTTCTGGCCTCTCTGAGGTCCTCACGTCAGGGGGACTGCCCCGCGCCACAGCGCGCCACGGGATTCGCTGCTGCCTGTGTGGAGAGCTGCTCGTTAGACCGGGACTGTCCGTCCTCGAGAAAGTGCTGCTTTAACGGCTGCGGACACACGTGTCAAGCACCAGCCAATTTATATAAAGGTATTCCCTCCAGCAGCTGCTTTTAATTATCCAAAATACAACATGTGGTGATTTACAGCCGATCCACTGAGGTGATGCTAATTAAGAGTAATTTTTGTTTTCTGAGGCCTTGATTCACTTTTCTCATTACACCAGCGTCCTGTCGGGTCACAATAACTGCGGAACAAGCTTTTAGTTTATCGCTTGGGAGAGTGAACTTCAACATCTGGCTCTTGTAACGATGATGTTTAAACATTTTGATTTGCTTTGATCAAACATGTCTTTCAAATTATTTAAATTAAATTGCATCTCAAATCCAAAACAGTCCCACTAAGGTTGAATTACCTCAGATGTGGTTAGGGTATGGCTGGTTTATTAATTCTTCAGAAAGTTTAAAATCTGAGAGGATTTTTTTTTCTGTTTTTAAACAGTGGTGTGAAATGTATCCAAATATGAATAATAATGGAGAGTAGCCTTCAGGAGGGATCAACTAACTTGTGTTTTGAACACTTTTCTGTGTTTTTATGTTTATTTTATACTTTATTTTTATTGAGGATGTTCACTAAGATACTTGTTCTTTTTGAAATACCATCGGTCACTCCAAGTTTCAAATGCATGCGGAATGCGAAAAAAGTCTTCTACCCCTATTTCCTGCATTAGTCACCGATAGAAAATAGACAGGAAAACAATTTGGTCAGCTAGTAAAAGCTAACTGTTAGCATTAGCAACTACTCAACCTAAATATAAGAAGAGCTCTGACCAGCATCTAGTGGTGAAATGGGGGAACAGTAACACTGAATATCTCAGAAATCCATGTGTGTTTCTCATCCAGAAAATATTTGTCCCCAGTAAGTAATTAGTGGAGAAACAGCTTTATCTCATAACTGCTGTCAGAACCTGTAAGAGACACCTGTGACTGGCAATCTGACATTGTAGCATGGCTGATCTTGTGTTATTGGAGGACTTGGCAGAGGGTGCACTCCGGAGGGAATGTGTCTTCCGTGCATGCACTGATCTGTTTCCTGATGGAGATCTAACTAACTCCAAACAACACATGCATACAACTCCTTAAAGGGGCATTATGGAAGTTTGACAGCCAAAACATGCATAGAAATAATAAATTTCTTCTTCATACATTCTCCTGCAATGCCCTAGTCCTGTAGAATGAGCCCTGGCATTTTTACTGTGATTGCTTGTTTTTCTGTAAAATCACAGAAAAAGAGAGTTGCTCGGGTCGAGCAGGCTGCTTCATGCGCGTTCATGCGAGAGGTAGTGGGACTTTGTCGCTGTTCCTAACGCCTAGTGACAAACCTAGCTACATTTCTGAGGACCCTTAGCTACTTTCTGTAGAACTTTCTTCTAGATATTTCTTGCAAATTAGCAACAAAATAGTTATTTTCGCTCCAAACCGTTCTTTGAACGTTGTTTCAGGTGTCATCAAGGATATAAATGTTACAGATACGAAAGACGTCACTGGCACTTTAGCTCACCTTGTAAGATGTCGGATTCCTGTGCAGAAGACCCGGGTTTGATTCTGGATGTGAACATAGTTTATGTGGAGTTTCTTTTTTACATTAATGGTATTTTTTTACAGTAAGATGCCCAAATTTTTATTTGAGACTCGCCGAATGGCATTGAATTCACAGATAAAAAAGATGTGGGTTCAACTTTCATTTTGGAACAATTTTTCAAGCAAGGGAAAGGCATGTTCTGAGCATGCAGGAGGACTGACCCATCATAAACCTTTGTCTGCTGTGCTGAAGAGAAAGGTACAGAACCAAATTATTTAATTAATTAGCTGCGCGTTCTCCTGTCCTCTGTCCTCCTGGCCACACACACACACACACATACACACACACACACACACACACACACACACACACACACACACAAACACACACACACACACACGCACGCACGCACGCACACGCACACGCACACACACACACACACAAGGGACTGTCTCAGCTGTTATTTTCGTTAAGGAGTGTGCACGTACAGCATGCGTGCCTCGTGCACGAGCCTACTATTGAAGCTGCCATTACGCTTTTGGCCTGAGGGGGCAATCGCGAGCATAAAAATTCAAAACTTTGTAAAGTCCCTTTAAATGTAAAGTGTAAATGACAGCCCCGTTACTCAACTATTTATCTTATTCAATTTTACGTCGAAGCATTTTTTCTTTACTTGCGACAGAGACTTCTCTGTCTCAACTACGTTTAACCTATGCAACTTGTTTGTTGCCTTGATCTTGCTGTCAATAAAAAAAAAAATTCCCGGGAGGAATGCAATGATTCCCCCCGTGAGCTGAGGACATGGTGCGACCAAATATGGTTAATCGAGGGTGTGGGTATGTAAATGAGTGTGAACGGACACAAGCATGTGGAGATGACATTTATCACATGCAGAAAAACGTGCATACAACTGGCCATCACACGTTTCCTAAATCAGGATTTTGGCCATTCGTGTGAATAATCCAAATTTCATTTGTAGGATGGACAGTTTCTATGAATGTTTGATAAAACTTCAGTTGCCTGCTTTTTTTTCTCCCCAGATATCAACACACAATTCATTGATACTAGAGACCCCCTGCAGATGTGTTGTGAATGAGATCTTTAACATTGTTGACAAAAGACAAACATATTCCTCTAACATTTTTGGATATCCTGACTCTAAGCAGTTTTCCCGCACTAGTGTGGTGCTGACTACCCAGAACTGTAACACATTCTGTAATTCTTGACTTCTCTCATTAAATGTATTTATTTATTTTTCAGTATAGTCAATGTTAGTTGTGTCCACATGACTTAATCTCAGACTACTTCTCTGCTGTGCTGCTCCATCCATAATGTTATTCAAGTGTGTTTCACTTGACATTCCTGTGTTATCTCCTTTTTCAGGTGTTCCTCTGAAGCCTCGCAGAGAGATAAACTTCACTGAGGATTTAGAAGGTCGTGTGAAGGTGGCGTGGGTGTCAAAGTTCAACGTCAGCATGGAACCTGTCATTTACATGCTTCAGTCTCGCTGGAACATCGGTATTCACCCCAGTGAGGACCAAGCCTCTCCATGGGCTACCATTGCTATGGTAATTGCTACCATTAACAGGCACTCATCGTGACTTTAGTAAAGTTTTGAGATGCTGAAGTCATTAAAGGAAGCATATTATACGGAAGGAAGCAATGTAAAAATTTCAATTGTATTTTTAAAAGTTCCCTTGTCACTGCGCGTTATTGGAAGGTTTAGTTAAATAAGGTATCTGATTGCCAGATAAAAAAAAAACAGCTTTGTGTCACTGAGTCTTAACTATTAATATTGATGGTAGGAGAATAAAAGAAGCTATAAAAACGATTTCCTGCTCCGTTAACAGCGAAGCCACACCACAACATTTATAACATAGCTTTAGCTCATAACTCTCAATTTGCCTGGAATGATGAAAATTCTCAGCTATGGAGATGGATGCTAGCTTCAACTTCCACCTCATCAGTCTGCTGCCTCACTGTCTAAACCTCTCCTCCCCAGCCAGTCTCATTCTCTGCCAGGGTAAACCTGTGTGTGTGTGTGTGTGTGTGTGTGTGTGTGTGTGTGTGTGTGTGTGTGTGTGTGTGTGTGTGTGTGTGTGCGTGTGTTTTTGTGGCATATCTGGACTTTTGACCTGAATACATACCGACATTACAAGGACCTTTGTGTCTTAGGAGGACTAGGCCAAGGTCCGCCTAAATCATGGTATGTATTTGCTTTTTTAAGTACTTAAAAATAATTTTTTCTCATGGATTTTGGGCAAAACCTATACTTTACAAGTGGCTTTATAGTTTGGATTGTGTTTTGACACTTAATAATATATAAACAGCTTTTATTTTCAGTTTATTAATTTGTCCATCTATACCACTCAATATGATTTTTGTGTATTTATGTGTATAACACAGCGCCCCTGGATGTTGTGTATTTATTGCACTTTTATACACATTTATACACTTCGCGGGGTTTTGGGGTGTCCCTTTTGTGATTGGCTGTGGGCGGGACATAAAGCCCAACCCCTCAAAGCTACTTCCTGAAGACGTGCCTTTAAATTTTAAATGCCTTCAAAGCTGCAGCACTCAAAATGGAGGTCCCCGTGGATTAAACTTCACAGGTAAGCAATAGTATTAATACATTTCGGTTATTTTCTAGTTTTAATGTTTCTTTGATGTAACAATAGACTTGTAGCAAGTATTTAGAGAATGCAATGCAGTTCGTTTGGTTAGCAGTGAGTTGCTAGCTAGCTTAGCATTAGCTTGCAGGGTGTCCTCCAGAAAACTTAAGCCTGGCGGTAGAGAAGCCCAGGCGTTGTAGCGAGGCTGGTGGAAGAGCACGTTTATAAGATTCGCTTCCGTTCGTCGTCCGTGATAACCGGGGGGAGGTGGGGTGAGCGCACGGGTAGATTCGGTACCGTGCGTCATCCGTGATGGGGGGGACTGATAGAATCGCTACCGTTCGTCGTCCGTGATAACTTGGGGAGGTGGGGGTGAGCGCACGGATATATTCGGTACCGTGCGTCATCCGTGAGAGCGGGGTGAGGTGGGGGTGAGCGTATGGATAGATTCGGTACCGTGCGTCGAACGTGATAACTGGGGAGGTGGGGGTGAGCGTATGGATAGATTCGGTACCGTGCGTCATCCGTGATAGCGGGGTGAGGTGGGGGTGAGCGCATGGAAAGATTCGGTACCGTGCGTCGAACGTGATAACGTGGGGAGGTGGGGGTGAGCGTATGGATAGATTCGGTACCGTGCGTCGAACGTGATAACGTGGGGAGGTGGGGGTGAGCGTATGGATAGATTCGGTACCGTGCGTCATCCGTGATAGCGGGGTGAGGTGGGGGTGAAAGCCCTGGCTTGTAGCAACGTTTTCAAATTAGTTTTATATAGTTGGAAAACTAATGAAAGGTTGTGAATCTTACAGTTTTTGGTTACATTTATTGAATTTGTGAAGCTACAGCTGCTAGTTTAGCATTAGCTTGGTGCTGTAGCACATTGCATCATGGGATTGGTAGTGAGCTTATAAACCTGCAGAAAATGGTACACTCCTGTTGTGTTAAGGGCTGCCATGGCATCAAGAATCGGGAGCAACTGTTAGTTTTTCCCAGAATCGTACAGATATAAACAAACACGCCTGCTGAACTTTTACTTTGTAATGTAAACTTTTAATTTCTGCAGAGGAAACTTGTTAATATAAGTCAACATGGTGGATTTAATAGAAGCTTTAAAGAACAAACTCTGGACAGTGTGAGGTGAGTTTGTCTCACTGCAGAAATAAAAACGCACACGGAGCGTCAGCAGTCAGACGCAGCCACTCACCAACACTCGTGTGTGTGTGTGTGTGTGTGTGTGTGTGTGTGTGTGTGTGTTTGAGCGTCAGAAGGGTGAACAATAACCTGTAGAATAATTAAAGATGGTTCTCTGTGAATGAACATAATAGACCCTTTTACTACCTACGTCATCAAAAGTTGCGCGCGCAGCCTGGCAACGAGAGTGAAGGCTTCCTCATTCACATTCGATACTAAAACAGCGTTTGAAACCTTTTGTTTTGAAGTTCTGAGCACTTAAAAAAAGTCGGGTTGTTGCGTGTATGGATGCCAGAATCGCTTCTCTTCAAGCAGTGGACTGAAACTTTACAGAATTCCGAAGGGAGCACATCCATTTGAACAAAATCGGAGGCGTCTGTGGCTGCAGGCCATCAAAAGTGTAACTGCAGCCTTTCCTGTTTTTCCCATCCTAACACAAACTCAACTTTGAATCAAATTGCTGCTGCGTGGCTGCAGCATGACCCAAGTCTGGAACATCAAAATGACAGAATTAAACAAATTTATACGCTTTATTTCATGCTTCAAATTAACATTTCATTCTAATTCATCTGTATTTTCCCACTGCATATTAGTATAAACTGTATTTCTCTAAAATTTACACGATTGTACTCTGAGCACGCTAAAAAAAGAAACCTATGCTATACTCACCCTGCCATGCAGGCACAGTTGGCTGTGAAGACGTAGTTCTCTGGTTTGTTTACTATGACCCAAGCCTCATACATAGCAGTCCTTGTCTTTGGCTAGGAAGGACTTCTGCCTTCAAGACGCAAAACTCAGAGTCTATGTCGTGATATTTTACTTTCTGTACGTGGCCACAGACAACATAGTTGTATGCATCTAACGATTTGTATGCCCGTAGCTTCTCACTTGTGTACTTACTGGGCCTCTCCACTAAAAACGTGTACATATCGGGCCACTGGATATCTGGCCACGCACCTACATCTTACACCCATTCCGTAATGCCACAGGGATCCGGGAGTCTGTCGCCATTCGTTAAAGTGAGTTTAATAATACAACATTCAAGATTTGCTGGTGATAACCCAGCAGCGTAGCTTGATAAAGCCTGAAACAACGCCATTCTCTGTTGCCAAGCTGCGCGCATTCTCGCTGAAGTCATATTGTTTACAAACAGTAAAAGGGTCTATACTGGAACATTTTTGGTAAATAATAATTTGGGAAGACGGCAGGAACAAGGAATAAAATAGTTTACAGTATTTAAAACATCCCTAAACTGGAGACTTGACAGGTGTGATCCTGATTCTGTGAATGAACTGTCAGTGAAGGCTTTCACATCACAACTCTGCCTCTCCTAGTTACAACTCTGGTGAGTGTGACTTCTTGTCCTCTGCGCATGCAGGTCACTTTGGGGCCATAAAGCGTTCACACTGGAGAGAGTTTGATGTCACATTTCAGTCAAAATGTAAACAACCACACAAAAATATTAGGATTTTCGGAATTGAGCATCAGGACCTGCAGCATGAACGTAACGTCAGAATTATCATTATTTGAAACTTGGAATTATCATTTTGTTACCCTTCCTGTAGCTTTCCTTAAGATTTAACTCTTGCTATTATTTAGTGCCCGCCTTGGGACTGGGAGGTCAATTCCCAGTTGGGTCATAAGGCGACCAGACTTACGGGACCCCACGCCTCCCTTCTTGACACTCGGCTTCAATGGGTTGGATTTGGGTTTAAACCACCAAATGGTTCTCGAGCACAGCCACTGCTGTAGCTCACAGCTCCCTGTGGGGATGGGTCAAGTGTGGAGATGTAATTTCACACGTGTGTGATGATGACTATGGGACTTTAACTTTACAGATGCCAGTAAAACATGGAGAGGCAAAGACGCATTAACCCAAAAGGAGATGCTAAATATCACATTGAGAATGGAAAGGACAAAGTGGGATTTGACGTAAAATCCATCAGTGCCTACAAAGGTATAATTATTTTCTGGTAGTTTAATAAAAATATAACCTGAACTCTACATTGACAATTCTCTCTCTCTCTCTCTCTCTCTCTCCCCTCCCCTCCTCCCCCCCTCCCTCCCTCCCTCAACAAGGCCGTGGTGTCTTTGTAACTACCTCTTTTCAAAAAGGAGACTTTCTGTTGGAATATAGAGGAGAACTGATCAGTAAGGAGGAATGTGAGAGGAGACAAAGAGTTTATCATGATACACTTAAAGTGTTTCTGTTTGAATTCTACTTTGACGGAAAGCTGTGGTGGTGAGTATGATTATACAATCAAATTAGAAATGGCTGAATGTGCTGTCACTGGAAGTCACAAGACAATTTATGATGTAATAATTGATGCATTAATGTTTTAGTGTTGATGCAGCAAAAGAAGATGGGTCACTTGGAAGACTTGTCAATGATGATCATGTCTGTCCTAATGCCAAAATGAAGTACCTGACTGTGCAAGGGAAGCCCCATTTGTGCTTGTTTGCTATTCGAGAAATAAGCCAGGGAGAAGAGGTAACCTATAATTACGGTGACTCAGACTGGCCATGGAGATGCAAGGTGACTGACAATTGAGTCATTAAATTTTGAATGCCTATGAAATTTGCCTATGGAAGAAACAAGTTAATGTTTATTTACAGTATAAAATCCAATCATTTTTAACACGTGTACAATATTTTTATGAAAGACAAAGCATGTTTTTTTTTTCATCCTAATAATTTTCAGCTTTCCTTTGATGTTACTTGAGTGGTATGAATTAAGACTATCACTAACTTTTATTCATTTTCTGATG